CTCACGGGGGGGTGGCGTGGGGGGGGGGCTTTGTTTTTAAAGCACAGCCCTTTGGGGAAACAATGAAGCAGTGAGATCTCCATGGGGCATCAGGAGACTGGCATCGTCCTCTCCGGCTCTGGAGGGCCACCAGCCAATCCAGGCAGCCCTGTACCAGGCCGTAACCCTTTGCCCTCTCCAGAGAAGGAACTTTATTTATTTGCACAATTGGGTGCCTTTTAGCATTTGTGTATTGAAATGGGTATTTTGGAAGCAGGAGTCGAGGGACAGCTTACAAAGGATAGGTCCCCTGCCCTCAGTGCCTGGGCCTCATTCTAGTCCCTTCCCCCCGGGAACCGGGGAGGGGCGCCAGGGTCGTTGAGGCCCCCGGTGTGGGGGATGGGATGGATGCCGTGGGCCAGACTCCCGTTGGCAGTGGGCGCCCTTGTCATTGAGGCTAAGGACGGCTGGCCCCTGGGGGTCACCCAGGACTGTGAGCTCTGAGGGACCTGGGACATCATCCAGCTCACATGCCCTCACCTCCCACGTCATAGCTGAATGAAACCGAGGTCCGCCTCGCCAACCCGCCCTGGGTCCCGCAACCTGCCAGCAGCCGTGATGGCACTGTGCCCTGCCCCGCTTTGGGGGGACGCCATCTGGTCCCTCCTTGCTTCCCTCCCCCCACCCAGCCTTACTCCACACCATGTGACAATCATTTTGTATGGATAGCAGGAGCGACGCTGCAAGGTTTTGTACATCGGTGTTTTGTTACCTAGAAAACCCACCGTGTCTCCGGATTTCTGGCACATTAATAAAGGCCTCTGCTTTGTAAACGTGGCTGCCGCCTCGTGACGTCCGTCAGGTGCCGTCCCATGGCTTCCCGTATTGTGGGGAAAGAGGGGGGGGGGCTCGTCCATGGTTGCCCCTGACCCCCCCACCCCAGCCCCACCCCTGGATGTGCCACAGATCCATCAGGCCCAAGAGCCTTTGGCCCTGGAACCAGCCGCTCGTCACCTGGCCCAGGGAAGGAAGAACTGGTAAGAGCTGGGTGTATTCCTTTCTGTACATTTGAAATATTTAATGACTTTTTCACTGGAAAAAAGACAGTTGGACCCCTTTGCCACTGCCGGCATAAGGCGGCCGGGCAAACTGAAAAGGTAGGTGCTCCTTGGAAAGTCAGGTCAGCGGTGGACAGCGGGAAGGCACTGGGGAGCACTCATCCTGTCCCCGGAGCTTTCGGGCATTGTGACCCTGGCCCGGGGCTCCCCCTGAGGTAGGCACAGGGCCACGGTCAATCGACTCCTGTTTCACAGCTGGGGAAACCCAAGCTCAGGGCACAGAGGCGCTTGCGACAGTCGGCAGACAGTCCCGGAGGTAGAGTCGAGGGCTGTGCCATCCAGGACGGTGGCCGCTGAGGGGGCCAGAGCCACGTGCTGCTAGTTTGGGGCCACTGAGCCATACGTATGGTACCACGAATTCCCCCCCCCCCCCGTTTGCTTTGGCTTTTATTAACGTGGCGACTGGAAATCTCAAAGTCCGGTGTCTCCTATTCCATTTCTGTCGGACGGTGCAGCTCTAGAACTCAGCCCCGATGGCCTGAGGCCCGTGGTGTTGTGCCCGCCCTCTGAGTCACTCTGGCTAAGCCCGGGCTTGGCAGCGGTCTGAGTGAGCCCTGAGAAGATGCGGGAAGGCAGCAGGGCGTGACTCCAGGCCCCGGACACGCCGGTGGTCTTCCAATAACAGCTTGGAAGGCACTTCGCCATCCCCTTCACCCCCAACCCTAGCCTCCGAGAGGCTCCGCCGATCATCCAAGGACGTCTGCCTTCTGTCTGCAACTCTGTCCACAGCGAGGCCCGGTCTCCGACGTCCCGGAAACAAGGCTTAGCTGGTCGCCCCGCCCAGGGCGGCGGCCCGGAACCTCCAGCCCCATTCACGGGCCCCCCCGCCCGGGGTCCGACTTCCATCTTTCTGCCTGCAGTGACACCTCCCGGCCACCAGGCGGCGCCGGCCACGCGGCGTCACTCACACGCTTTTCAGGTGAATCACCCCAAATTCGGTAAGCAGGGCCACCACGAGGAAGCTCACGTAGAAGAGGAGCAGGCAGAAGCCGTAGACTTTGCTCAGCTGGAAGCACTGCAGTGGGACCGAGACCAGGGAGCAGACGAGGCTGAGGCCTAGGGCGCCCGCCAAGACCCACACCAGCAGTCCGTCTGGCTCCAGCTGTGGGGGGATCGGGGGGAGAGGCGGGGTCACCGCGGCCACCAGTCCGTCACCCACCCCTCGCCAGGTGCGGGAGCTCTGGCCCCGTGGGATGGCACGCCCCGCCCTCAAGTTCCACGCTCTGAGCCACCTACCTAACTGGTGGTCACTTGCCATGGTAACCCTAGGAAACTAACACGGTCTGTTACATACGCACGTTCCGTGCAGATGGTGGAAAGTTCTCGAGCGATACAGAAGAGCGAAAAGAAGTGAAATGACCCTCTCCCTGCTTCCCTGCCTCCTGGACTTAGCATTCACCTAACATCCACGGGGGACTCGACAACTGGGTGCTGTGCTGGGTGTTTTCACCCACTCCACGTAGCGTCTCATCTGTGCGTCGGGGTAAGGACCTCCCCCGACCACCTGTGAGGGGAGCGTCTTCACCCCAAGGCACAGGCGAGGAAACAGTAATTGGTGCCAGAGCCCACGTCCACGTCCAAGCTCTTACCGACGACACCCTATCCTGCCTCCCCGCCCAGGGACGAACATGCACACACGCGTGTGGATCCACACACTGAGACCTGCACGTCCGTCCTGAAACCAGAAACGGAATCGTAGGCGAAGTGCTTAAGAGCAGCTGCGTTTTCCACCCAACACCAGCCCTTGGCCATCCGTCCGTCCGTGATGCCTTCCATCCCTAAACTCCGCACAAAGGCAGTAGAATGCACACACACACACACACACACACACCCCACAAAGAGCAAGAGAAAGGAAGAAATCGGCCCCTTGGGGAGCCAACCCTAAATCCTCATTAACTGGAACTGCCCGGGAATGGATCATGAAAGAAACCTATTAAACCGTGAAGCGTCTAAACAAAATTTGCAGCCCGTGTTTACCTTTTAGAAAAGCAAACTTTCCAAGCAGTCAGTAGCTATTTGCTTGTGGGCGTGGCTACCTCGAAGGCTGGCCCTGCCGCCTGCTAATTCCAGGCCCCC